CTTTGTTTACTTCAAGTTTGATTTCTGCCTGTGTTATGTCATGTCTATAACTGACTTTAGCCCTGATGCCAATTACTGTTTTCTTGTGCAGGTTAGTCCAGAATAAAACAAAAATAATAAATTTCCACCCAGAGAAGAAAGGGACAATGAAACAATTTTTATAAACAGACAAAAAACAGCCCTCAAAACCTATCCAAGTTGTGGCTAACTTGACAATGGCATACTGCCCACGATCTGTCCTTCCTGTCTTTGCTCTTGCTCAGCTCTATTGCTGGTTTTGTGGTACCCAGCTCTGTAAGTTTCCACTTAATGCACTAGAGATGGAAAAGCTGTCACTATTGTCCCTGCATGCAGCAGCGTATCATTCCTAGATGTGTCCACAAGATAGCCTTTAAACACTAGTGAGACTGCTGTCCCATTGCATCCTGTGAAAACACTTCCAGGAGCCCCTCTAGAACCCAAGATGTGGAAAAAGTGTGTTGGAACCTGATCTGTGGCAACAAGAATAGAAAACACATTATTCTGAGTTATAGAAACATGATATAAGGAAATCCAAACCTGAAAAATAGAGGGAGGGAAAAAACAAAACAAACCCCAAACCACTCATTAGGAAGCATGAATATATTCCAATATTCAGGAAGTCCTTAATCCAGACCAGACTTGGTCTGAAACTGTGGTGGGCTATGCTATTGCCAGATGCTATCTCCAATGTGATTTATTTTAAGAGAATATTAGACTTGGCCAAGAAGCTGCATTTGTTTGACTTGTTTTTATCTGCAAGTCTTGGGTGATAGAAAGGGCACTGGGATGGGGTTCACTCTTCTCCTAGAACTGAACCACCTTTTTTTTGCCCTTTGTTAGACTCATCGCTTGGAAATTAGGATGCATTTCACAACTGTCTGATGTTACACTTTGGGTTTGCAATAACTAAGATGATTACATTCAGGAAAATGATCAACTATTTATTTAGACAGGCCAACTTTGATGCTGATTACAGCAGTCCTCCTGTTGCTGGTGCTTATTGTAAAGTGATGAATAACCTTTATACCAGTCTGTAAGAGAATCATTCCCTTCTCCACAGGAGAATGTCTCCAGCATTGCTGGGGCAGGGAATGAAAGCCCTGGGTTGAGCTGAAATGGGCTCCTGGGCCACGAGCAGGGGTTATGGGAGTCTCCAGGGGAGGTTGGGCAGGGCCAGCAGCCCTGGTAGTGCCTTCAGGGCTTTACAAACACAAACCCACTTTTCTTTCTTCAAAAGGAAGCAAATGTTTGGGTCACATGAGTTCACTGATGTGGTAAAAATGGTCCAGCAATGGAGAAGACAAGTATTTTTTGCAACAGTTATACTGTGATTTTGAATTATCCGCCTGATCATATCAAGATTTAACTATACCTTTCCAAATGTTTGCCATTTTCTTCCATCCATGCTTTCTTCTACCCACCTTTTCTCACTCCAGGGAGGCATTTGGGAAGCACTGCTTCACAGAGACCTAATGAGCTCATCTATGCAAATCAGGCTTTAAGCGAGAAGGAAGAGGTCCAGCATGTTCACGAGGATGGTCTTGGTGCATGAAAGGTGCTCTGAAGAAAATCGCTGTAATGAGGGAGAAAAATCCTGAAGCAGAAAGCTGGGTAGGAAAGAGATTTCTCTTTCATTCAAGCTGTTTCTTTCTTCCCCTTATCTGATCAACTGAAACAAAACTCCTCTGAAGGAAATCTTCCCCACACAGTCTGCAAGACACAGTCTGCAAGACACTGGTGATCAGCATGGCCATACATTTTACATTTTATTTCTGGTAAATATAGAAACCACAAAGGCTTCCCTTCAATTTCTAAAATGCTGGTGTAAGAGCACAAGACGGATGTTAATGAATATAAAAGCCTCAAACCTAGAAAAGGAACAAACAAAAACCAGTTAGCATTTGCTTATGAAGGAAAACTGAGTAACATAGATCTAGTGATATAAACATGTATCTAGGTATGATCATGTATCTCTATGTGCAAAAATAATTTCCCAGAATAAAGTTACTTTTACTGTGGACTTACTAGCACAGTAAAGATTTTTTTATTCCAGAATAATTCTCCTTTTTGAAAGCAGAACAACTGCTCATTCTGGGGCAGTGTTTACACAGCATGCACACCAGTGTAGCTGAAAGACTGTGGCAACCCACCTATCGACTGCTCTTTCTGTCAGTTTTACCAATAAACAAGTCCTATTAGTGTCTGGGTGTGTGTATGAGAGGGAGATAAGATGGTCTCCCTTTATCAAAAATACTGAAAAATCAAATATTAAAATCCCAAGAAAACATGATCTGCTTCAAAACCACTCACTGCATGATGAAAAACAGAAGACGAAAACTGCAGCTCCTCAGATCCTATTATTTAATGAGAATATGAAGGAATAAACTCCAATTTTCTACAGTCTCGTGGGCTTTAATGGCTGCAATGGCTAAGAAGACACGAAGTCCAGTTGAACTTTTCTCACTGGTGTAACATATACACGCAGATTTTGAAGTATGTCACAACACATGAACTCCTAGTGCCACCCTTGCCATGTTCTGGGTATAAGGGGATATGTATCAAGCCCCTTCACCCAACTACCTTCTTTTTCTTAAACTTCTTAGAATTTAATTGTCTTTGAGAGTTTTGCCTACCTCACATTCAGCTTCAACTGATCAGAGCATTCAAAAACTAGGAATGAGGCACGTAGACACATGTACACACAAGGGGTGGAATGTATAAAATACATAGATGCCTACATTTCAGCTGGGGAGTAGCTGAGGAGAGGAATGGGTTGCTATGGAGCTTTGTTTCTCACATATAAGATACAGAAGAGAATTTCCTTGATTGACCATAAAGGTAGGCTAGGCTGAGCAGCATAGGCACAGGCGTCTATGCCACAGATGCCCAGATTTCAGGCAAAGAGCATTTTGCTGGAGCTTTCCATAGAAAACTAACCTTGAACTCGGCAATGCTTAGGACTTCCACTACTGTGGTAGCCATTCAGAAAACTTCTGAAGGTGGGCCAAGAGAAGATGGTTGAACGTTTTTAAAAATCATACATCTCTATGTTCCCAAGCCAATGGGCAAGGAAGTACATAAAACAGGTGAAATTTGACACAGTAAACAAGCATTCAAAGTTTAAGCCAATTTTTAATGGGTTGTAATTGAAACCATGGTGGCAAATACTGCCCAATCTCTTCCTTGGGTGGCTTTCAAAAGAATTAGGAGGTCTTTGCATTAAAAATAAAAATAAAAAAAATCAGAAAAGACAAACATTTTTTTAGAAAGCCTTCATCCCAGCTGTGAAATGTGAAACAGTGAAGGCAAAATCTCAGAGCCATAGGATGAGACGAAGCTTGACCAACACAGTTCAGAAGGCAAAGCTGCAGAGGAACTGTTATGAAAACCGAGAAACAAAGAAGAGCTTGAAAAGGAGAATAGCTTTCTAATTTGATACCTAAAATATAGAGGGGTATCACTGAATGAGGGAGAGAGACTTTTTCCCATTATCAGGAATGATCACAGAGTTCCCATTAAAAAGCAATAAAGAAGAACTATTAAACCCTATGGGAGGCAGCAGAAGTAGCTGAAGTCTTGATCGCAGCCTGATACCCTGTCAAGACTTGATGACAAACGCGCATAAGTCCACAGCCCAGGTGGGTGACTGACTCCCCAGGCACTGCACTTCTGCCATGGCCCTCGGCAGGCCCTCAGCGGGCCAACAGTGGGGCTGCGCCAGGGCTACCAGGTCGGCAGCCAGACTTGGGAACAGCGCTGTGTCCTGCGTTGTGTGCCTGTGCCCTTCCCGCTCTGGGGAGAGGAAAAGAGGGGAGGGTGCTGTAGGTGTACCACTGACCAGGAGAAGGTGGGGTGTGTGTATGTGTGTGGGAGAGGACAGCATATGAAAGTGCATGTATGTGTTCGTGCATGCACATTTCGTGTCTGGGAGGGAGGTGTGCGGGGAGGTCTGAGCGTGTGCGCATCCCATACATAGGAACGTTAACGTGATTGCACCCTTGTCTGAGAGGGGAATCCCCTGCCTAGGGTGGGCGGTTAGTGTGTGTTGTGTATTTGTGCATGTGTGTGTATCCCCTGCCTGGGGGGGTTAGTGTGGGCTGTGTGTGTACATGCATGTGCACGAGTGTGCGTGTGTGGTGTGCGTTCATCCCCCGCCTGTGGCACTGGTACAGTGTCTGTGCGTGGCTGCATGTGTACGTGTGTATGTGTGTGTGCGCGTGTGTGTGTGAGCGCATCCTCTGCCCGGACAGGGGTGTGGGGGTGTGTGCGCAGGCCCGGGCAGGGGGTCGTGCGGTGGCGGAGGCTGCGCAGCCCCGGGCAGGGGGTCGTGCGGGTGCGCGTAGCCCCGGCGCGGGCACGGGGCGCGGAGCGGGCG